AAAGGCATATAAAAATAAATTGTGCAGAGGTTTGAACACATAGATTTTGTCATAGAAATCTTGTCTTATGTAAGGTCTAAGGAAAGTAAGTTAAGACACATGATTTCAGGGAGCGCAAATATCTTTTTGTTGTCAGGAAGAAAGCCTCAATAAAATCGCTTCATTCACACATGTGATTAATGTCAATAGTATGTATTGTTCCCCTGTTCTTTTCTCAGTACTGAGCTATGAGATTAAAAAAACAAACATAAACTGGAGAAAATATGGGGAAGACTAGTGTAATGTCAAGGATTTGACTCTTTTGTGGTTGAGGTGTACTTAAAAAAAGATCAAGCATGCTGGTCATGTCATGTTGTTTGAAAGCCAGATATCCCAGCTTTAGTGTTCTTACTGCTGTTTATAATTCTGGTAGGCAATTAGGAGAAATGAAGGCCTGAGCCTACAGATTCTTTCTGTGCAGGAGTCAGTTTGCCCAGCGAGAACAAACTGCAGCATTGGAGCCTGAGGAAAAAATGAAACAAACAAACATGCAATTGTGTTCAAATAGCCTTTACAAGGGGATAATCTTTGAAGAGTTAACTGTAGCTTTTTTTTTCATTTTGGTTTTATAAGGTTTTTTTTTTTGTTGCAATGGCAATTGGTACTGTTTTCCCAGTAGAATGTTGTGTTAGGCTATTGTCCTCTCCAACATGGATCTGTGTAGCTGAACTATAAACTCTGTAAAACTTTGTCTAAAATCATAATAATTTAACAAAACATTTTGTAAACGCTGTCTTTTTTTTTTTAAGGCAGGGATTTGTATTTGCTTGCATGTATCACTAAAGCATCAGCCGACATGCATTTTCTTTAGAAAGCAAACTAGTAAGAAGTGGAATGCATAGGCAGCAATTTAGCGCAGAATTTTTGAAGGGCTTCTGTCTCTGAAAGCGTGTGGCTTTTTTTAATTGTGAGCGGGTCTAGATTTTTTGCCCTAATGTTGGTGACTGCTCTGAGTTCAGTCTTTTTGTCACAGTATGTGGCCAGTTCAGTTTCCTTCTCTGCAAGTCACCTTTTCTTGCTTATTTTTAGCCTCAATGAAATTCAAACAATCATCTTTGTTTCTGTTCCTGTTTGTATACTGATATTGTTGGATAACTTCAAAGATGTCACAGCGGTTAGAAGAGGTATTGTTGGTATAAGCTCCCTCTGCTGGTTAGTTCTGCAGCAGAAAGTAAGCTGTGTGATGTGTAGTTGTTTATCACCGAATCATGCAGCAGAAATTAAAGGACAGTTGAAAGCAGTGACATGCAGTGTTTCTAAAAGCAGTGATCTACCAGAGCACCAAGTTTAAGCTTATGACACTTACAGTCAAAAGGCTTTTAACTGCAGTTAACTTAAAATCTAGATGTTGGTATCTAAGTGATAAATACTTCTTAGAAATGCTGTTGCCATGTTGCATACAGAATCTAAACAATGGCTTGAGAGGTAATATGTTGAGACAGCTATATGCATACAGATTAAAATAACTTAATTACTCTGGACTCCATCTGGTATTTTTGCCACTACATTGCACTTACAAACTTTCAGTTAAGGTGCAGTTGTTGCATAGTATGTAATGTAGTGGGGTCCAGGCCTATATTGTTATCAGGAGAAGTAAACAATAAACTTAGCTCTCTTATTCATGTAGTACAGGAAGGGTAAGAGAAGGACACTGTGTTTCTTTGCGGTTGCTTGCAATGACATGACTGAAGTCTCCTAGATCAGCTTTTCATAGCAAGGATTTGCCCAGGAGAAACTCTGTGCAAGCCTTTCCCCCTGATATTCGGACAAATGTTGCTCAAGGATAAAGTTGGAGTGTGATTGGTGTGAGAGGTCAATCTCAGTATTGCAGAGTGTCTACCCATTTGGAAAGTCTGCAGTATGTCTTAGAGAATGCTAAAATTAATTTGATATGTGTTTTGATAACACTGAGTTACTTTACTGACATCTCCATTTACAGTAGTATATATAAATATATATTCTCCAAATACTTTTTTTTCCACTATAGACCTTTTTTTCCCTCCTGTGTCAATCAGGACTTTTATTGGAAAACTAGGAAAGTGGCTACGGTCATTAAGGAGTCCGTCTTTAAAGAGGAAAAAGGTAGTGCTTATGCCTAGGTTGGGCGTTTATTTTCTGTGGAAGATGGAGAACAAGTAGTTAAAACAACTTTCTGTCCACAGTTAAAGCGAAGAAATGGTAGTCTCCATATAAACTCCAGAACTTTTAGGTTTGTATGTTATTTCATTTAGACATAAGCATAAACAAAAAATAGCTGCTGTTGCTACCGTTATAATGTTGCCGCTCGATGACAGGTACTCCAGCAAATGGCAGCATCTAAGTTATAGTTAATATTTGTAGAGGAGAGGAAAAGGCTGTATGTTTGAGGAGAAATAGTACATATTATATAAAAGGCAACAGGTGTTTTCTGCTGTTTGGTTGGTTTTGGTTTTAAGAATTTTTGTGAAACTTTGTTGGTTGCTAAACCTGAAGAGACTTTAGGATTGAGATTTATTAAAGAAACTAACCTGCCAGTGGCAGATGAGTTGTCGTTAAAAACCTTTTAGGGAAAACCCTTGAAATAACTTTGTAGGATTGTAGTAACAGTTCAAACTGGAAATGCACAGTGTTGTTTTAGATAAAGCAGTGTTACACCTGTCAAAAAATTCTAAGGTTCTTCATCTGTGAATGGAGTTCATTGCTCATGTCTTCAATCTGGGAAGTCTTGTGTGCTTGGAAGCTTTGCTTTTATCTACTGGTATTAGTTTGTCTGACAAGATACCTCAAAGCTCAACTGGGTATGGGAAATGTGGTGTAACTTGCATAGGTTTGTCAAAGAGGAGTGGTTAACTGAGTCATACAGTATACAGGATTACAGACCTAGTGCAAAGATCAGAAAGGGAGAGAGAAAGCGTATTGTAAACCGGTTGCTTTTAAAGTAGTGTTTTAGGGTGCTGTAAAACTTTTTAATGTTTATTTACTGGGACAAAATCAAAATAACATTTTGCCTTCATGTCTTAAACTGATGGGATGTGTTGAAAAGAACTTCAGTGAATAAAATATTTTCCTTAATGTCCAGTTTATGACATGTTTGTGCCCTGACAATTATCTATTATATGCGGCAAATGAAATATAAAGTCAGAAGGGACAATTACTTGGTCTGCTCGAAAGAACAAGTCATCGCTGTCTCCTTTTAATTGACTGATAGTGTCATACATTAAAAGATTTGCCAACGTGAGGTAACAAATCTTAGCAGCTAACTAGCCTGAGTTTGTAACTGCACTAGAAATTAAGAAGGCTTAAATGCATTCAAATCTGTTTAGCTGTGTAGAATGTGCTGTGGTCTTGTCATCAGGTAGGCTTTCAAAAGCTGTTCTACAAATACGTCTATTATGAGTGTGCCATCTGGAGACTTTAGGCGTTTTCAAGATGTGAAACGTAGAGTGAAGTCAGAGTCTTGGTGAGAGAGGTGCCTGTAGAGCAGAGCTGGGTTTTTCAGAGCAAGGTTGCGAAATTTGATAAGGAGATGTCTGGGTTTTGTTTGTGTTCGGTGTTTTTTTGTACATATACTTCCACTGTGACTTCAGTGTTTCTCAAACTTTTTAAAAATAGTAAATGCCCTCCTTCCACCAAATGTCTGTGCTGAACAACCTGTATTTTAGGATTGACTGCTGGTCTTGAGTAGCTTTTTGAAGCCACGTCTTGGTTGCCAGCGCAGTTTTGAGAACCAAGCGTCAGAAGCAAAGGACAGAGGCTCTCTTGTGCTCTCCCTGTTGTCTGTATCTGATACTCAGGCGTCATCAAGAAGCCTGAGTTGAAAGTAACAAATCAAAGAATGATAGGGGGGTAGGATAGGACTGGAGCAAACAAGTGAAAAGGAAAGAACTAAATGTTGATAAGAGGATGGCATGTGGATAGAGACTAGATTTCTTACCCATCTGAAGGTTCTTTAGCCACTTTTTAAAATGGTTTATTGTGTCATGTCACTGACATTCTGTAGAATTCTCCACTGAGTGCTGTTCAGATTCCATGAAACTTGCTGATGCCCCTGACCGTGGATCATAGACTGTCAGTGGCAGAATCCCTTCAGGGTATGAGTAATGTTACAATTTTTATGTGCAGGAGTGAAGGCCTAAATAAGCTCTGTAGGATTGTGTTGACTGTCAGCTTTGTTCTTGAGCTGGTGCGGTTGCCCTGGGGAATCTGTGAAGAAGGAGCATTGTGGAAGGATGGATTGTATACATCTATGTTCGCTGACAGACAATGTCTGTACTCAGTCATGTTTCCAGCTTTTGATGTGGTCCAGCTTGTTTCTAAGTAACAGATTATGACAATTTTACATAATTACTTTTCTCTGATGTGTTTTCCAGCTTAATTCTACAAACTCATGAGTTTATCTCATGCTTTTGTGCTCTCACAAATGGTTTTTGACCATAACAGCTTTTGATTACGCAAAACATGACAGATTTGGGCCATATGTGCAGCAGCTCCAGCTTTATTTTTATTTGCAGGTTTCACTTATACATCAACAGCTTGCTTACATGGCATATACAAGTTGTAAGACTACAAAACAATTTCACAAGTGAAAATTTTATAAATGGAAATTTCAGTTGAAATTCCCTATGAAAATGCCCTCAGAAATCCACTGTGCCACCAGTGGATATTTACTAGGTCACGAGCTTTTTAAGAAGTTTGCTTGTGGAGCAGCTGATGTTCAGCTGTACTGTATACAGTTTACTTAAATATCCTGTTAAGAAAAGAGGTGTTCTTCAATGTCCTACCAGTGACTTGCTATTTGTTGACCTTAATATATGGAAATGTAATGGCGTATTGCATATAGAATCGGATGTTATACTTTCAGAGACACAAGTGTCTTTCATTTAAAGGAAATGATCTTATTGCCTGTTGACGAGATTGTGAAATACACCCTTTAATAAGCTTTTATTTTATTACAGCAATGTCATCTTAGTTGTAGAAACATCATGACACACAGCAGCATCATGGTGGATGTAGGAAAGTGGCCAATATTTACCTTACTATCACCTCAAGAGATAGCATCTATTCGGAAAGCATGTGTATTTGGTACATCAGCCAATGAAGCTTTGTACGTAACGCACAATGATGAGGTAAGGCTGTAAGAAAGTGGAACATATACTCTACAATTAGTTGTTTTCAGAGTCCACTGAATATTTGTACATAATTAGCTTCTCAAAAGCATTGTGTGAAATTTGTATATTTCAAAACATGTTGGATGTAACTTGTAATTTTTTTTTTTCGTCTTGTATGGGGACAATTTAGATGGAGTATTTAGAAAACTTACAAATGACAGAGGCCAGGATGGATTACATGTACTTTTGAAGACAATCAGAATTCAAAAGAAGTTGTGGTAGCTAGAAATTAAGTACTCCAGGTATGAAGATATAAAATGAGGTTATGGCTTGCTAAGTGTCAGTACAGCGGAAGATTATATGTGGGTTGTAACGATTCAAAAACTCAATGCGAGTTAGCATTGTGCTGCTGAAAGGCAAAAAGGAAAGCCAGCTGGTCTGTGATGGGTTTCTTGTGAGACTACATAGAGCAGGATTTTTTTTTTTTTCCCTGCTAAGTACTATCAAAGCAGCCTGTAGTGTGAGCCTCCCAGCTGAGGCTGCGCTTTACAGACTGCTTTTAATAGAAGGTGGTGCCTTCCAGTTTCACAGTTTAATACTTTTTATAGTACAGTTTCTGCAAATGAGAAATTTAGCTTCCAGACCTGCATGGACCTGAAGAATTCAGACTCATTAGTTCACTTCCAAAGTGTCTCTGTGCTCACTCTTATTAACTTCCACGAGGGAAGTTTCCGGCCCTTCAGAGTCTGTGTCTTTGTGAAGACCTGGAGATTACCACATCTGTGCATACCCGGGTGTAAATCACTTGAAATTAGTATTTCTCTGTGTTTCAGGTGTTTGTTTTTGGACTGAATTGCAGCAATTGTTTGGGAACTGGAGACAATCAGAGCACAATAGTACCAAAGAAATTAGAAGCCTTATGTGGAAAGAAGGTTTCCAGTCTCAGTTATGGAAGTGGACCCCATGTTGTGCTTTGCACTGAAGGTAGAAAATTAGTATTTGGTATAGAAATATAAGTTGTGGATTTTGAGTTCCACTTGCACTTAACAAGAATGGATTAAGGTGTAATTGTATTAACTTGTTAATTGGGTAATACACATTAAGGGGTTTTCACTGGTCTTAAGTGGAACTAAGTGTATTCTGTAATAGGTAAATTTCTGTTACTTTTCCATTATGTTGCAACTGTAGAGTTTTACTGTATCATTTATGACATACTCAGTCTTACCTGTGCACTTTCATGTGTTTCCACAATAAATCTAGAGGTTATACTGCAATATATGTATATAAAATGTATATGAATAATGTAATTTTTTAATATAAAGATTATTCTTGTAATAGTTTCACTATTTGTTAATGTCCTTTCATTTTCATGCTGGCATTTTCTAACTACTTAGAATTCTATCCATCTTAGCTTCCTGGGATTTTTTGATGGCTTTTATCACAAACTTAAACATTTTTGCAGATGGTGAAGTGTATGCTTGGGGACACAATGGTTACAGCCAGCTTGGGAATGGCACAACCAATCAGGGCATTACTCCTGTTCAAGTTTGCACAAATCTCTTAATAAAGAAAGTGGTGGAAGTAGCTTGTGGCTCTCATCATTCCATGGCGCTGTCGTTTGATGGGGATGTAAGTTGAAACCTGTTCAAACCTCTTAATCTGTTTGACGTGAATAACGCAGGTGACCTTGCACTCTGAAGTTCTCTGTTGTTCTACAGTGTAGTTACAACATAACCTTTTCTCCTACTGCCTCAAACTAGGGTGTCCTTTTCTTCAGAGCAGACTTGAAAACAACTCAAAACAAATCCCACTCACAAACGCGAACAAAAAAACCCCAACCACAAAAACAAGGGAATAAAAGGCTAGTAAACTTTTGTGTCTTTTGTTTGTTGTACGTCTGACAGGGATGAGACCAGAAAGCTGTGCCACTTACAAGTTAGAGAATAGTTTGTAAGGTGCAGAATGTAACATTGTTATTTGCTTACAATTCTGTTATTTAAGGGATATATTGACATATTTGGTCTGTTTCTTGTAGTCTTCATGATTTCCACACTGGTACTGTGAAAAAACGTTGCTCTGCACACCTCTGAATACCTTTGTATGTGTGGCTAATGAAAGAGCACTTGGTTTATATCCAAGTCTGCTTTATGCTATTTGTTTACATGGCTTAAGGCTATGTGTCATGGGAAATGCGTACAATTAGTTTCCAGTTAGTCAGATTTGACCTGTGCATGTGTGTATGCTGTGAGTTGCATGTTACTGCTTGGAGGAAAGCCTGGTTTCAGCTCTGCTTTAACAAAAGAAGAGTTCTAATTTTAAAACCTTCCTAACTATGATTCTTTTCATCTTAGTGATCTGAGCGTGGCTGTGTTATGGTTCAGAATGGAGCCACAGTGCAACAGTAATACAAAGTGGCAAATCCGTATTTTGAGGGTAGGAAAGTGACCTTGGGTTAATTAGAGTGGTCTGTGTTGTGTCGGAAAGGAGAGCCTATGCTTAGGAAAGATGTTCATGCTGTCACATTTTACTTTGTTAATCTGTACAATTTGGTTTACATGCAGGAAGGCAAGGGTGTTCATGTACTAGTTAAACGAGTGGTGCCAGCTGCTGTGTGGTAGCTGCCTGTGATGATCGTGCTGTCTCTTATAATAAATGTAACATGCTTGAAATATCCATGGAAGCGGGGAAGCTTTTTTGTATTTACCGTGGAGTTGATATCTGCAGCTCACTCGCCATTGTGGCTAGCTAATGCACTATAAATCCACCCCTAGCGTACCTTGCAGTAGCTTAGTCTGTTTGTGCTCTGAGGTTTTATCTGTACCAGTATTCATTATACTGAAAACAGCAAAATGTGTTAAGTGGAGTTTTATTTACAGAAAGCTTTGGCTGCAAAAAACTGTACGACTTGATATATCTGGAGTTTCAGAGATGGATTGATGTTGGAAGTATTCATGGGCATACTTGGCATAACTGATTTGTACAGTTGGTTCCATGCAGTTTTAATGCAGTGCAAATGAAAAAAAAAAAACCACCTTAACAATAGACTTAAAGGACTGCAGACATTCGTGCTTCTCTGAGGGAGGAAACCAGTTAGTTCTTTGGTGTTTTGATCTACCCTCTGAGGTTCTCTACCTGAGTTTTTTCTGTGTTATAGAAATGAACGTGTTTTATATATCGTCTTCAAATATTCAGTAGGAATCAAAGGTCCAGCAAATAGAAGTAACACAAAGCAAAGGACTAATCCTTTCTTCTGGCCATATTAGACATGGTAAATGAGTTGTGTTGGCGGGAGTTTTTTTTATTCCTCTCTGTGTGGGGTTTCTTTTGTTGGTGGTGGTGTGGGATTTTTTGGGTTTTGGCACTGGGTTTTTGGTGTCAAAGTAAACAGGCACCTTCTGGCACCAATGGATGTGCAGACTTCGTATTAGGGTATCTGTCAGTGTGCTTTTACTGGCTAGCGTGTATGTGGCTGGGTATTTCCAAGAGGACAAACTGTGAAGCACCAGAGAATGATAATAAAAATTGAAGGAACTGAAAATATGAAGCTAGAAGTATTTTTTTTTTTTAAATTGCAAACTATTTCCCTGTCTTCTGGACTTTTAGATGAAGGGAACCGATATTTTTGTTTTTATTATTAATAGTTTGCCACTGGCTAACTTTGAACTGTCAGAGATGGTGCTTTTTTGTTAATGCCGTTGTGTAGGGGAGTTTTGCTACTGTGAAACATGGGCTGACAAAACCATCTCCTTTCACAGCTTTTGAAATACTTAAGAGGTATGAGAAGTGTCCAGCAATAAGCTGGTTTAGTGTTCTGTGAAGAAAACTAAATAGCTGTAAACTAGGGAGTTCAGCTTGTGTGGGAAACAAATGACATTCTGGCTTGCATTCAGTTTTCCAACCTCGTGAAAGTATAAAGACAATCCACTCGCTATGCTCTTTGTCTTATAGTCTGACTTATATTTAATATGGAAATGTGTTCCTTTTGTTTCCTCTAGTAGTCAGATGCTCTGGTTCTGTAGCACGAAGCCACAAAAAGTGCTATGTTTATATCTGTTAGATCAGTCCTATTGCCGTTTATAATTCTCAGCTGTTGAAAATTAATTCTAAGCATTTTAGCTCATTAGATAGGATAGTTTACCCGATCTGATGCAGAGATTATAATTTAGAATAATTTATTTAATATCTAAATTAATTTAAATATAATTAAGATTACAATTTATTATTATCATTACTATTATTAAGGCTTAAACTGCAGGTTTTTGTTTTTTTTATGGACAGCTGTATGCTTGGGGCTATAACAACTGTGGTCAAGTTGGATCTGGATCTACAGCAAACCAGCCAACTCCTCGTAGAGTTTCAAACTGTTTACAGGGTAAAATGGTCGTTGGCATTGCTTGTGGTCAGACCTCCTCCATGGCTGTAGTAAACAATGGCGAGGTAAGCATTGCTGCGTTCTCACGTTCTCTCTCTCTGTTACCCGAACTTATGAGGTTAATGTCTGAACACGGAGAAATGCTGACATAAGAGTGCCCAAAGTTAGAGTTGTATTGATAGTTGCAAAGAGTTATATTGATAACTTCTATGATATCAATTTAAGCAAAACTCCGCGATTAACTGGAGATGCTGTCTTAACACTAAACGTTCCTTCTTATGGCAAAGACTGTGTTGGAACATGATTCTTACTGAGTCTGCTACTGCAAGAATTTGAACAGGTTGTATTAAGCATGTCTGTCTTCCTTATTTCAATAGATTGTTTAAAATATGTCTTAATTACATGTTTTGAAAGCATGCACAATTAAATAGTTAATCTTTCTGCAAGAAGACACTGACTGAGCCTGGTTCTTAAACACATCACTTAATTGCCAGCAATAAAACCAAACCACGCTTTTGAACATTACCCTAGTATTGTGCAACTGTTCTGTTTCATGTAAGTTTTTGGTGCTATGTTGCTTCTTGGCATGAACTGTAACCTCAATTTTACTACATTGTACCAAACTTGGAGCATAGCTTTTCTTTGTGACTGGAGGGACTGAAAACGTCCCTGAGGTTGAGATGAGCTTTCGTTGTACATACTTTTGTCTTGATGTGTCCACCATAACAAAACTAAAAGAAAAATAAGAGCTAAATTGAGGACTTCAGTTTAAACTAATCCAATAGCTAATCAGCTAAGTAAGTAATTTCTTATTTTCAATAAAAAGAAGAAAAAGTAATAAGGAGAAAAGAAGGTGTAAAAGTCAACTAAAATGTTGACGCTGTGGGAGAGATCTTGGTGTATTGTAAGCTTTTTGCAAAATTCTTAGTACTTCAAAGACAAATTATTTTAGAAAGCTTCTTTAAAAGGCAAATGCAGGATTGAAAAGTAGAATAGTCAGTCATTGCAGTGTATTTAGTAGATTTTAGCCTTATCTGTATTGCTCTTGAAATAGCATACAGATTTTTAATAAGATGTACTCTTTTGACTTGTGCTTAATACTAAGTCTTAAATGTTCTATACTTCTGTAGAGGAATGGCTTAATTTTTGTTTTCCTTTTGCAATGAGGTTTATGGCTGGGGTTACAATGGCAATGGTCAGCTAGGTCTTGGAAACAATGGCAATCAACTGACACCATGCAGGGTGGCCGCGTTACATGGTGCATGCATACTCCAGGTATGTCTAACATGGAAATGAAGATGCATTCATGTTGCTAGCACCTGCTAAAACTGGATCTTTAGAATCTTATACCTGCTTCTGGATTTCACAGTTCGAATGCTGAGTTTTTAGTGCCTGGAAATGATATTAGGCTTATAAAATGGCAATAAGCTGTAAAATACTTGCTTTTATAAACGTTTGAATGATTGAAAGGTAGCTAGTGTAACTATAAGTTATGCATGGCTACAAATTGCATCTTTGTTACGAAGCTGAATGAATGAAATGCACTAGGCAAAGATAAGAAATGAAGGGGAACAAGATACTCAAATTAGATTCTACATTAATATTGTAATTAGCCTTTCAGAAGTGAAGGAAGAGGGAAAAAGAGTAATGGGTGTGGGTTTGGTTGTTTGGTTGTTGGCTTGGGGTTTTTTTCCAGCTAAAGAATAAAACTAAAAATTAAGATTTCCTGTTTTTTTAGTAAGCTTCTGTGGAGTTTCATATGATAACTTGAACAGTTGATGGCTGTTGAACTGCAGCTTTCATAGTTTCTATAGCATTCAACATAGAAAATTCTGAAAGTATTTCAGAGTTGCAAGACGTGATAATGAATCTCGCTGTTCTTTGTGTGAAAAGTCAGCAACTGAAAGCAAGCAAAGGCTAGGGAGACTTTGCAGGAGTGCAGTAAATTATTTAGGAGTAAGCAATGAACGCTAAATTAATGAAATTGGAAATTTTCTGGTACCTACAGTTAACGTATTTTGTGTTAGCTTTAAGTACCAAGAAATAACACACTGTAGTGTTAAATGAAGAATGCCTGAGATATTTAACATCAGCTAGACTAAGGTAATGTGTGCAATAATTTTGTTTCTTATTTCTGTTTTGTTCAGTAGTAATGCTTATACATTTACTTACAGATTGCCTGTGGCTACGCGCACACACTAGCACTAACAGATGAGGGTTTGCTCTATGCCTGGGGAGCTAACACTTACGGGCAGCTGGGAACTGGCAATAAAAGTAACCAGCTAAGCCCGGTGCAGATCATGATGGAAAAAGAAAGGTAATCTTGCTGAAGCTGTTTCTGGATTGATAAGTCTGAGCATGTGTTATGCAGTCTCTAGAACTGGAAGCATATGTGTGTGGGGCTTGGTGGATTGCTTTTCTATTGCTAATATTAAAAACATAGGAAAGGATGGTAACTTGCTGTTTACTGTAGACTGAGTGCTTTTTGCTATTTGCAATGATTATTGAAAGTAAGCATACTGTGTGCTTACCTGATACTGAAAGATAATGAATGGCTAAGTGTTAGGCTAGTCTAAATATGATTCCTTTGGTTAAAAATTTGGAGCTGTGAGACCAATAAGCCAAACTTTTATGCTATATTGAGGCCCACATTAAAAAAAAAAAAAGAGGGGAAGGAAACACCGCCTTGGTAAGAAGTGACACATGAGGAAAAAACAATTTTCTGAGAGGCTGACAGTAGCCAACCACAAAAAAAAACCCTCTGTTTGCAAGGTTGCTAGAGATAAGGGCAGATAATACTACCAGTTAGTAGTTTGTAGTTTCTTAGTTTCCTAGACTTGTAAAAGAATGACCCTAACCCTTGCCCACCCTCTTTCAGCACATTTGTCGTCCTCGTATTTGGGATGGCTCTTCTGCTGTTCACGTACAAACTTGGACCTCAGTCCCATTCTCTGGACCTATGTGTATACCTGTAGATTAATGTACCTCAGTTTGTAAACCTCTTAGTCTATAGATCCCTTAACCTGTAAATCTCTTAACTTGTAATCTCATCTTAACTAGGGAACACTTGTCGTTTTTTCTTTTCCATTTCTGAGCTGTCTTTATGGGAAGTCTCCTATTTTTTCCTGTTTTTCACACTTAACATTAAATTAAAAACTGCACAGTACTGAGATTATTTAAGAGCTTAAAAAATGGTGGGGCTGAGGAGGGAGAATAAAGGAGCCATCACAATAGAAACCACTGAGGTGAGGCTGACTTGTCTGTGAAGGAACTGACACTACAGAGCAAAATGAAACATTCTTTAAAAAAACACTGGAAGAGAAATGTATGTTTGCAAATAGATCAACTTTTTTTCTTAGCGATTGATTTCTTGAGGGAACAAAGAGGAACTGTTGCATTTAAAACTGTATGTGAACTCAAGCAGGGGATTATAATAGAACTGGTGTTTGTTCAGTGACTAAAGGAGGAGGGAGAAAATACAGAATTCTGCTTGGAATTGAAGGGAGAGATAAGTCACTTGAATTTACTCATCTTGCTTGACTTGGCTCCCTTGGAAACAGTACTATAAGCAGGTGAGCTGTCATTTCCCATGAAGCATATTAATGCTGCTTTTCCTGGTCCTTTTGTTTATATAACTCTCTTGTCATTTATTTGCTGGTGCAGTGACAGTTTATTAGGAGGTGGCATTTGGTGCTGTCTTGAAAAATAATGCACAAATAGCTTGTAAGGAACTTTTAGGCTTTATTTTATGTTAGCTTGGAGTAACAGTTATGAAGGTCAGCTTCCTGAGTTTTGATATTAAGTATATGCTTAACATGTTATCCTGTAAGTGTACTGTACATGTACTATACAGGTATACAGGTGTTATAGTACACGTTCTGCTATTCTCCTGAAGTGTCATATAGTTACTATAAAAGTAAGAATCTGTTCTGCTAAGGAAAGAAAGTTTGGGGAAGGAAGTGGTTTTGGTGGATAGCTATGATGGACGATAAGTTGTCCCTAAAATAATTACTTTATGATGTCTCATGCAGAGGTGGTGAAAGATCTTGGTGTTGCATGGAGGTTCAGAAATTGGTAATGGTGTAAAACAACCCATCGGTCTTTTATCTGGAAGAAGTTATTGATACATATACTGAAAGTGATTGTAGATTCTTTCTGTGTTTTATCTTGAAATAATTTTTGCACTGAAAATATGGGCTTTGTGCTGAAGAAGCTTTTTGCCTAAACAGCTAACTCTTCATGGATATTGTTCTGTAAAGGAATAAACATTTTTATATCTATATTCTTAGACTGCTTGGAAAGACATTTGTCTGTCCCAGTGATCTGTTTCTGGCACAAAAGCATGAAACCCTCTGATGCATTTTTAGTATGGAGAGGAAACAGGAGAGTATAGCCTTTATTTTGAACTAATGCTGGAACTTCCCCTGGCTTTTGTTTATTGTGTGAAAAGAGATACTGGAAAGGTCCTGGCCGCCCTTTTAACTGAAGTGCAATTCTACTCAGTGTCTGTAATGTTTCAGATAGCAAGATAAGGACTGTGCGAGCAATGGGAGAACAGAATAGATAAATGTGCATCGGCAGGTCTAATATTTTAAGGAACTATGTGACGTGGGTGAAAATAATATATAGACTTTATTTAAAAAACAACCATAGCTCTTCAGGAATGTGGAGTTAAGTGCATGTATTCACCTCTCCTTGAAGGAAAACCAGTCTATGTTGCGTGCTGAATCTCAGTGTTGAGGAAAGGAAACTTAACAGCAAAATAAGAAGTCAGAAATACAGGCAGTAGGTCAGATCTCCGTCTACATACAAAAAACGGATTTAAGAGAGGGGGTAGAAGGGTTGCTTAATAAAGGATTTATTGAAAAACACATAGGATCTTAATCTCAAAATAAGAGAATTTTTTCAACATCTGTTTGAAAGAAGTTCTGAAAAATGCTCTGCAAAAGTCTTAGTAGTAGAACTTTCCTGCCTGTTCCCTAACTGGAAGTTTCATAAGCTCCATAAGCATTTCTTCTTGAGAAGAAGTGAAGAAGTGTCTGATGTGCATTGGTTTCAAAAGGGAAAAACAAAACTTTGTTTTTCTTCATCCCTTTCCCATGGTTATGGAAGAAAAGGATGAATGTCAAATGATGAGAATGACACAATTAAAGCAATATCTGATTACAATAAAATCTACAAGCAATCTGAAAATGTCATTGCAGTTTTTTAGTGAAAACATTGAAACAGTATCACATTTATGCAGGACAAGGAAAGAAGTACAGGAGTGTAGATATATGGTTCAGTTAGCTGTTATTTTGGTGAGGCATTTGGAAAGTCACTTGATTCCGTACCTGTAAGTATCTCATGAGGTTTCTTCTGTTTGCAGGGTTGTGGAGATTGCAGCCTGCCACTCTGCTCACACGTCGGCTGCCAAGACGCAGAGCGGCCAGGTGTACATGTGGGGCCAATGCCGTGGGCAGTCAGTGATCCTTCCCCACCTCACCCACTTTGCCTGCACGGACGACGTGTTTGCTTGCTTTGCTACCCCTGCTGTTATGTGGCGTCTTCTGTCAGTAGGTGAGAACAAGCTCTGATATGGCAGCCAATGCTATAATCTCTGTGTACATTTTCAGTCATTAGTACAGGACACCACTTCGGTGGCAGGATGGTTCTTGCTTTAAGGAGAGCCTGTAATTAAAACTAGCTCTTAGCTACGTTTTTTTTCTTCTGAAGAAAAGAGTCTACTTCAGCAGCTAAGGATCTAGAATAGGGTTAACAAGATTGTTTGCTTGCCAGTTTACATCTGGAGAGAAGCCTGTTTTACCATTGCTTTGTGAATATTGTTTATTTCCTACATTTGTATTGTTTGAGCTCCATCTCAGGACTAGGAAGGACTCCGGAATCATTAAACATAACTTTTCTTTTGTCTTTTAAAACTATGCCTACTTGGAAGACTGTTCCTGACACTTGTTACTTTGATATCTAGCAACTTTGAATTTTAAGTGTTGTCTCTAGCTTTTCCTCAGTTTTTTACCCTTCCAATATGAATATGAAGGTGTGACTCTTTCTCCTATATTTCATGTTAACAAAGTAAAGTAACACAATTCCAAGTTTTCATTTCATGAGGTGATTTCTCTCAACTCGGTTTAGTTTGACTTTCCCAAAAGACAGGCAAACTTGTAAATAATAGTCCCTGTGTAAGAAGATCCTAATATAATTGTTTTCTCTGTTGGAACTGTCTTCTCATACTGCCTTGGATTACACTTAGGGATGCAGTCTTTCTGATCAACAAATAAGCCAAAGCCTTTTGTCTTGATTATCTTTGATTCACATGCTGCCAATTCTTATTTGACCCCAAATATGATATAAAGTCCTTAGCTTGCACTTCCTTGAAAACATGAAGCTGTTGTCACGTTCAAAACATGAAGATATTTTCATCTTAGATCTGCTGCTTCAGTTCTCAAGATCATTTAGGAGATCTAATCTGTTTTCATATTTACAACATATCCTAATTTTGTTAGTCCATGTACTGAACTGTTGTTGTGGAGGGGTGACATCCTAAGTAACTTTTCTCCAGACTCAGACTTTATCTTTGTATGTGGCTTGTCCTAACCCAGCTTCTCCATCTTAACCTCTCATTTAGCATGTTACCACATTTATAGAGGTCCAGATAATAGCATTTGTCTATAGAGGAAAACTGAATAGTTTTACTAAAGAGAGAGAAGATTAACTTGACGTGATCTGCTTCTGGGTAAATTCAAGTCTTGTTTTATCCTACTTCTCACTTTTTTCGTTCTCTAATCCTCTAGGATATGTGTTAGTCTTGCCCTCTGTAGAGGTCTGATGGTGAAGGTTGTTAAAATGACATCTCCCTGGTTTCAGTACCTTTCAAGTTCCTGAGTTTTATGAAGTATTCCCAGATGGAGCATAACAAAGTATTTGAATTTTGTTCATATATTTTAATTCCTCTTAGCCTTTGGGTGTTCTTCTGCTCTTATTCTGATAATCCTACTTATTGAATATTTAAGTCAAAAGCATTAATTCTGGGGGCATTTTTAATCTGTCTTCTATATGCATTTTTTTTCCTTCCTTGCCTTTTTTTGTTCATATAGGTCTGAAAACCCACCTTTTTTCTTTATGTTGCTTCCTTTTTTTTCCGTCCTTAGTGCAAGCTAGCTCTTCATGAAGGTTATTGTTCTACTTCCAGATATGATGTCTCAGCCAAAAAAATGATTTGGTCACTCAGGATTGGCTGTGGTGAAGTACAAATCTGCAGCCTTTTTTGAGGAATGAACTTAAGGTATTTGTAGTGAAAGTTGATCTACTGCATAGCTTAAGCTAAGCTGGTGACCTAGAAAAATCACATGAGTAAACAGAGGGGGACTGGACCATGGTCTAAGCCTGATGAGATGCAGGTTCGGTGGATGATCCATGTAAACTGGAGGAGTGTTTGGTCTTCTGTGGCACAAACATGACTTGTCTGTTACAGCAGTTTCTTATATCAGTATTTCTTTTTAACTGTCAATTAATTTAGCTGTCCCTAATGGTGAAGAATAACTTTTTGGATTATATGTGGATGAACAATATGCAGTTCTGTGGGACACAGAAGACAGACCATGTCTCATTATAGTGAAATCTACTGATTTTTCTTTTCCATACTTCGCTTCTTAGAAGCTACGTGTTTTGAAAGACACTTGAAAGATGCATCAACAGAAGCTTCAAATAGTGGGTTAAATTAGGTTTTCTAGAACTTCAGAGTTCTTACTTTGCCACAAGCTTTAGCCAACTTGTGCTGCAACTCTTGTATGATTTCTAGAGATGCAGAATGGGACTTCTGTGGGACCAGTGCCATAGGCCTTAATATAAAGAACTGTCAAAGAGCTGTGATATCTTAGCTTTAATTGACTTGCAAAACTGCTGAAGTCCTATGTCCTTGGTTGTACCAAGAACACAGTATCTACTGTCTGTCTTCAACAGCACTGCTTTTAGATTTTTCTGTTGTCATAACTGACTAGCAAACTGAGTATGATGGTGTCAGTGACAGTTCACGTTAGTGAGCCCTGGCAAAGACCTTAACAGACAACCTGCAGGCTATATCCAATCTGCCAGCACAGAAAAGAGGTCAGCTGGTGACGTGTTTTCTTAGCTTTTAGGCTCAGATCACACCAGGTCAGTGCAGCTGAAATACTGTACACCGCATCTCAAGTGAGTTGCAGGGGATGCTGTAGACTTCCATTACCAGCACTTTGCAGGCTGCAGAGCTGAGCTGACCCAGCACTACCACTGGAGGCTGGCAATTTCATGAGGGATGCCCAGGCAGAGAATGGGAAAGGATGTTCTCTAGGTACTTTCCTTGGTGCTGTGCTGCCTCTGTGTAATGAGCTGGAATGGGAACTGCTGACCACTGCTGCCTGTAGCTGTTGTGCGACAGTACTTGCCAACGGGAGATGGTGTTGGATTAATTCATTCTTCCCATTTCACCACTTAAGCCAATGGAGTGTGGGCTGGATGAGTGGTGGGTGAAGTGGATTGAGAACTGGCTGAATGGCAGAACTCAGAGGGTTGTCATCAGCGGCGCTGAGTCTAGTTGGAGGCTGGTAACTAGTGGTGTCCCTCAGGGGTCAGTACTGGGCCCAGTCTTGTTTAACTTCTTCATCAACGACCTGGATGAAGAGTTAGAATGTACCCTCAGCAAGTTTGCTGACGACACCAAACTGGGAGGTGTGGTAGACACACCGGAAGGCTGTGCTGCCATTCAGCGTGACCTGGATAGGCTGGAGAGCTGGGCAGAGAGGAACCTGATGAGGTTCAACAAGGGCAAGTGCAGGGTCCTGCACCTGGGGAGGAACAACCTCATGCACCAGTACAGGCTTGGGGTGGACCTGCTGGAGAGCAGCCCTGCGGAGAGGGACCTGGGTGTCCTGGTGGACGACAGGTTAACCATGAGCCAGCAGTGGGCCCTGGCTGCCAAGAAAGCCAATGGGATCCTGGGATGCAT